TGTTTTTAAATTTTGTTTGTTATGCAAGATTAGGAATGGTGGAATTTTCATTCTAGAAAGATAGAATATAAAAATTATTAATGTGGCATCACTTCTAAGCTAGCTTAAGTTTTTAAATGAGATAATTGTTTTAATTACATGGTATAGCCAAGATGATCAAGGAGTTACGAGTTCGATTCTCACCGCTCCCGCTCAATATCCATTGCAATATACATGCTTCAAACCTAAAGAATCTTGCCCGCGGGTGTATTAAAGATAAAACAAATCAAGATTTAAAAGATAAAACACCATTATTTAACTTTAAATAAAAAGTTAAATTATTTAGAATCAATAATGTATAATAAGGATTTAGTGTTTCTTATATTATAAGAAATAAATTTATCTTCTACACGCATAAAAGTATGTGGGGGTCATGTGAATTAATATGAAGAAAAAAAGAGAGAAAGAAAAAATATGCGCTCCATATATTTTTATGTGCACATAGAATATAAATTCTCCAACATAAAAAATATTAAACCCAATATATAATATTTTATTTATTATTTATTTATTTATTGGTAAACAAAAGCGCTACAAGCCCATATATTTATTATTTAGAGTTAACAGCATGAGTGGAAAGAAACTAGTTTTTCCGTAATGAAGATAAAGTATTGTGAACTGAGGTAACAGACTTTAGGAGCTAGAGTCACTACTAAAAAAAGCTTTATTATCGACGGAATTTATCAACGGAAAATATTCTGTCAAAGATAGTTACGGAATTTTTGACGGAAATATAGTTCCGTTTGAAATAGAGACGGAAAAAATTTCCGTTGAAATTTGAAACGGAAATGTGCAACGGAAAATAAATTCCGTCAAAAATTTTGACAGAAAATAAATTCCGTTGAAATTTTCTGTCAAAAATTTATCATATAATATTTGTAATTGAAAATTATTGACGGACCACAAATTCCGTTGATAATTACAACGGAATATTTATTCCGTTGAAAATTTCAACGGAGTTTTTCCGTTGAAATTTGAAACGGCATAATATTCTGTTGAAAATTCAAACAGAATTTTTTTCTGTCGAAAAATGCAACGGATTTTTTTTGTCGAAAATTTCAACGGAATATTTTTCCGTCGAAAATTCCAACGAAATTTTTTTCCGTTGATAATTTATGAAAAACCATAAATTTCTTTTATGCAAGAATGCTATCATTTATAATTGTTTATGGTGTTGTGCATATATATTGAAACATTCATCTTTATTCAAATGTGCTTCAAACAAAAGAAAAGTACTCGGGCCTTGACATAATTCATCGTATAAATGGCACACACGCCCAAGCCCGATGAGGGACAAAACCTCCTAAGCGCAGACTTGCTGGAAAGTCCTCAATAGTAGAATTAAACAATATAAAAAATGAAATCAACGAAAATAAGGGCAACATGAATGATATGCAATTATCAACATATACGATACTAATCTGAGTAGAATAAAACAACAACAGACTTAATTGTCCCAGACATCATCATCTTAGAAGAATTTATTTAAGTGAGAGATAGAGAAATGAAATCTCCACCTTTTAGCAACCCCAGAAGTTCTATGACTACAACAGTGAATTTATATAGTAGGTGGGTGGGCTTGCGTGATTCTTTACTTTGACCATTTTATGTTGGTGCATAGTGTATTCCTAAATGACTTGTGAGAGATAATGACTTATTAGTGTCAAAATTTCAACGATTTTTGATTTTTTTTCATCAAAAATTGCAACGGAATTATATCCGTTGAAAATTACAACGGAATAATTTTCCGTTGAAAATTCCAACAGAATTTTGGTCCGTTGATACTTTCAACGGAATTTTGATCTTTATCCGTCAAAAATTTCAACGGAATTTTGGTCCGTTGATACTTTCAACGGAATTTTGATCTTTTTCCGTCAAAAATTCCAACGAAATTTTGGTCCGTTGATACTTCCAACGGAAGTTTGGTCTTTTTCCGTAAAAAATTCCAACGGAATTTTGGTCCGTTGATAAGTTCAACGGAATTTTGGTATTTTTCCGTCAAAAATTTCAACGGAATTATTTTCCGTTGAAAATTTACACTAAATTTTTATCTATTGGTAATTTTAAGTGAATTTTTATCCTACATTTTGTTCTTCAAGTAATTAAATCGTAAATTTCTTCAAATATATCATTTATAATTGTTTATGATGTTGTGCATACATATTGAAACATTCGTGTGAGAATGCAAGTAGTCATGACTATCCATATTGAAACATGATGCTAAGATGTACTCACGTGAAAATGGATATGAAAATACGTAAATATGTTGCTAACATATCCCTGTAATCTTTATTCAAATAAGCTTCAAACAAAATAAAAGTACTCGTGCTTGACATAATTCATTGTATAAATGGCAGACACGCCAAAGCCCGATAATGGACAAAACCTCCTAAGCGCAGACTTGCTGGAAGCCCTCAATAGTAGAATTAAACAATATAAAAAAAAGTCAACGAAAATAAGGGCAACATGAGTGATATGCAATTATTAACGTTTATGATACTGATCTTAGTAGAATAAAGCAACAACAGACGCAATTGTCCCAGACGTCATCATCTTAGAAGAATTTATTTAAGTGAGAGATACAGAAATGAAATTTTCACCTTTTAGCAACCCCAGAAGTTCTATAACTACAGCGGTGAATTTATATAGTAGGTGGGCGGGCTTGCGTGATTCTTTACTTTGACCATTTTATGTTAGTGCAAAGTGTATTCCTAAATGACTCGTGAGAGATAATGACTTATTAGTGTCAAAAATTCAACGACTTTTGCTTTTTTTTCATCAAAAATTGCAACGGAATTTTATCCGTTGAAAATTACAACGGAATAATTTTTCGTTGAAAATTCCAACGGAATTTTGGTCTGTTGATATTTTCAACGGAATTTTGATCTTTTTCCGTCAAAAATTTCCACGGGATTTTGGTCCGTTGATACTTTCAACGGAAGTTTGGTCTTTTTCCGTCAAAAATTTCAACGGAATTTTGGTCCGTTGATACTTTCAACGGAATTTTGGTCTCTTTCCGTCGAAAATTTCAACGGAATTATTTTCCGTTGCAAATTTCCACGGAATTTTTATCCGTTGATAATTTTAACTGAATTTTTTTCCTACATTTTGTTCTTCAAGTAATCACAAGCATTATGAAAAACCATAAATTTCTTTTATGCAATAATGCTATCATTTATAATTTCTTATGGTGTTGTGCATACATATTGAAACATTCACGTGAGAATGCAAGTAGTCATGACTATCCACAACTAGAAGTGTTGAAGTAATGAGTGAAGTTATAAGTATACAAATATGATGCTCAGATGTACTTACATGGATATTCAAAAACGATGCTCATACACTACAAAAGTTCAAGTATTTTGCGGAGGTTATGTTTGCAAATTGTGGAGGCCTTTGACCCCCACTACATATATTTGTGCATTCATAAAGAACGCCAGTTTCACATGTGTCACAACATAATTTTTGTCATTTATGTGTGCAACGCTACTATTTGTTCGAGTATTTTTCTGGAGGTTATAGACCCCCACAATATATGTAAGACTATGGAGTTAATGATTTCTTATTTAATGTAAGACTATGGATTGTTTTAAGGAATAATTTGAACTAAATTTATAAAAAATAATGATTATATAGACCATGATTTATATTATAAAAATAATGATTATATTGACCATGATTTATAAAATATCATGAATTTATAATTAGCACACAATATTGTTATTGATAAATTTATGGGTTTGATGTTTGTCATTTTAAATGACATAAGTTATGTCTTTTTAGGAGAGAGATAGACACAGAAAATAGAAATCATGGGAGAGAGAAAGTGAGTGGCTTTTTTTAATTTAAAATTTAAAAAAAAAAAATCTGTTTCTGTCTCTCTCTTAAAAGGACAAAATGTTATGTCGTTTAAAATGACAAACATTTTTCCCTAAATTTATATATGATAAAATATATCACTTTACTTATAATTAGTTAACATTCTTAGCAAAATACTTATAGAGTATTATTCTTTTAATCAATTATTCTTTTACAAATTAGCAATTAATTATCATTTTCGTTATAATTATATACTTAGTAATCCCCATATTTATTCCATTTTAAAATTTAGTAGTCTTTCGCTCTTTTTGCATTCCCTCTTTGTACAAATTCTTTCCCTCCCTTCAAATTTTTGACAATCGAAATATCCCGCTTTTTTTTTTTTTATGTTTTCCCAAATAGTTTCTTATTCCTGAACCAACTCTCATTCAAATATTTTAAGAAACAATAAACCTTATCAAATCGTCCATTCCCGAAAACTTTCAAACACTCAGCCTTGAATTCCGGTAAGAAATCCCTCTCCACGATCGCCAACACCATAAGCGCCACCGCCGCAGCCTTCCTCGTCGCCCAATCGACGCTGCTCAACAATTCTACCAAGCAAAGAACCAAATTCCTCAAGGCTGCGTTGCTGGATGCATAAGGCAGGTATTTTGTAATTTTTCATGAGCTTTTAATTTTTTATGAGCTTTTACCATCTTCAGAATTTCTGTTCTGAAATTTAATACCATGACAATTTAATTTTCTTGAAGGCTTCAAAGGCTTTATGGAGGAAATGTGTATGTGGGTCTTCGAATTCCCGATGCTGATTCTGGTTCTCCCACAGAGCATTGATATCGTTCCTGTCACTAAAGCGTATTATCACTTCCCCCATCATTTTTTTTTTCTTCTCAGCTTTTGCAAAGTATCTTATATTGTTTTACTTGTTTTACTAGCGGCCATTGTTGGGGAGATTAAGAACAGAAACACATTGGTTCATTGAGACTTGAGGTGACAGGTTAATTTGTTAATTTAAGACCTTTACATTATAATTGAGATTGTGCTCACAATGTGTTCGATCATTTGCTTCACTGGCCTACGCATGCTGCATTGTAATTTAAACTTGTAAACTTTTTTTCCCATATCAAAGTTGGTTATTGTATAGGCTATATTGAACCTGCGATGGTGCTCTGCATGAACCTGTGATAGTGAGTTATATGTGGAGTGTGCACTGTACAATGATGGAGCACCATTTGGCCTTCCCACAAGAACAAGGTTTTTATACTTTTTGCAGTTTATGTTTTACAGAACTTAGACATTTTACTATAAAAATTCTGGTCCATTTTCACCTGGACTTACTGAAGGAATGATTTTTATGGGATAGGATTTCTTTTCGTTATTTAGCTCTTCAATTATACTATTATGATTGAGATTATTTTTTTATAATTTTTTCATTTCCATGTGCTCCAACCTCCGTTGGTATTGTGTTAAAAATAAAGATTTGAATACAAATCCTGTTATCATGCTTTATTTGTGTCATAGAATCATATATCTCATTGATTGAGAGATATGCCTTATATAATTTCCAAAAAAAAAAAGAGATATGCCTTATATAAACATGATTACAGTAGTAGATTAAAGATATAAAATAATTTGAATTAGCTAAAAGTTAGGTTATTATAATTTTAATTAATTTAATATCAACCGTTATGATTTACTAATCAAATCATATTCAAAGCCAATTAATGCCGTTGTTATAGTTTGCTAATCATGATCCTATTGGATGTTAATTAATGTCAACCGTTACAATTAATGTCTAAACAAATCCTATTTCAACAGTTAATATCATGATCCTATTGTATTTAAATTATCTCTTCTTTGTACATCTCTTTTATTTTGTATTTAAATTATCTTGTGGCAGATTCTACAATTAGAGAAAAGGCTACAAGACTAATTTCAAGTCAGATGCACATTAGAAATGGCACTTGGATACAACCTATGTCTCTTGTTAATCACTTGGATACCGAGGCCCCAGTGTGACAACTCACTAGATTAGAATTTAACATGATTGAGGTATCCTAATTTTTCCTATGCGTTATTTGATTAGGTTTACCTTCACACGCATTTCTTAGAATTTTTACCTCTGTTGTTCTGTTTGATGTGGATATTGGATTGGTCTTGAAATAGAGTGAAGTGTGAAATTATTTTACTTATAATTTTTTTTTTATTGCAGATCTTTCATGACAAACAAATGGTGCGTATTTTGGTGGCTAGCGCAAGTGTTAAGACATCAGCCTTTAGTTAGCATTTTTTTTTTTCTATTTCATGTATTTTTTTTAGACTTCATTTGAATTTAAGTTATCTTGTTAATACATATTAATTTTACACTTTGAATATTATTATAATAATTTTCAGAGAATATTTAATTGTTAGAAGCATTTTTCATATTTAGGAAAATTTTCTTTTAATTAAAATTTAGAATTTTTTTTTCATTTTGATTGTATGTAATTATAGTATATTTTAAATGATTTTTAAAAAATAAAAGTTGTTTTTGCTACTTATTTTTTTAATTATTAAGCAAAAGCTCAGCGTTGATGCCATATCTTTTGTCCAAAGAAAAAGTTTAATGGCTGCTTATTTCGATGGATGAGAAAATCGACTCCAAATCACGCAGATGGATTTAGTGGCTCCATATTCGTAGACAATTTTCAAAATGACGTTAATATTTATGCTGACAGTTTAAAATGACATCAATATTTGTTGAATTAAAATCCATATGAATTTAATATTTTAAAAAAATTAAAAAATATTATTTTCGACGGAATTCTATGTACATTCCGTTGTAAACGGTTAAGAATTTTCAACGGAATTTTTTTCCATTGAAATTTTCAACGGAATTATATATAAAAACCGTTGGAAACTGAAACGAAACTTTTCGACAGAATTATTTTTCGTTGAAAGTATAGACGGAATTGTAGTTAAATTCCGTCGAAAATTGTGACAGAATTTTTCAACGGAAATTAATTTCGTCAAAAATTTCAACGAAATTTTTGTTAATTTCTGTTGCAAATCAAGACAGAATTTTTTGACGGATATATTTTCTGTTGAAATTTTCGACGGAATTTATTATTTTAATATTATTTCATGACTTTTTTTATTGACAGAAAAGTAAGGCTTCCAACGGAATACATTCCGTTGAAGTTTTCAACGGAAAAATATTTCGTTGTAAATTTCAACGGAAAAAAAAAATTTCGTTCCTTTCGAGGAAGGATTATCCAACAGCAGAATTCCGTTGAAAATTCCGTGGAAAAATGACTTTTCAACGGAATTTTCATAATTTTCAACGGAAAAAATTCTGTTGAAAATATTAATATTTCTAGTAGTGAGTTTCGTTTCCTTAAGAGGACCTGCTACCTAATTTAATTTGATTTAATCAGGATTAAAAATGATAGAGGTATCAAACAAACAAAAGCATGTTACGAATGTGTGGTATAATTAATGGGAAATAAGCATGATTTAACTAAGGGTTTTATAATTATCATTTAACATGAGAATTACAATTTTCCTACATACACTTCGATTTCCGTTCTGACATGGTCCTACATATAATTTTTTCTAACACATGGGTCCCACATGCTTTTTATCTCTACAACATGAGATTTCAATTCTCCTTCAACATGAGAATTATAAAACCCTTTAACTAAAATACAATAAAGATTAAAGGGAAAGAATTCATTTACAATTTTATTTTATAAATTTTTGTTATCTACTCTCATAAGTATACAGTGCAATCTAATATAATTCTAAAAGTATAGTTGGTAAAAATTTGTAAATAAAAAATTTATAAATATATCACATCCTAAGGTTAAAAGAATGGGAAGTTATGAAAGGTTAAGTCAGTTGTACATCAATCCCGTCAATGCCTGCCCAAAATAATAACGTCTCAATCCATCTAAAAAATAACATAAGAACGAAAGGGACAATAAATAGAACAGTGTTTTTGTCATTAAAGATTTTTCAATTCTTATTCCATCACTAATATTAATATGGGAAATGTGTTTCCCATGTTGCGTAAGATAATTTGTCTCATGTAACTCATAAAAAAGTGAGTGAAATTTATTAAAAAAAATAAATAAATAAAAATAAATTTCACCTACTTTTTTGTGTGTTGCATGAGACAATTTGTCTCATGCAACATGATAAAAATCAAACTCTATTAATATCATATAAATATTAGTTACTCTTGTTATAGTTCAAATTATGTGAGGGCATGGATTCTCACTATAACAATTATATTCTTATAAATAACAAATATGAATTTTACAAAACACAAGCACGGACACATTTTTATGTGTTTTTTTTTTAACAGACATATATTTCTCATGTGGCAGTAGCAAAAATTTTCATCCCAATTATTCATAGGGCAACGTGCAATGATTTTTTGCATTTTTTTTAATGAAACATGACCCACCGTAATTTTGTCTTAACAACTAGGTAGTGTTTGGGTAGACGTTTGGTTGAGAATTTTTTTTTTAAATACTAGGAAAATGTAATTGATAGCGAAATGGTTAGAAAGTGAGTTTAGTAGGAAAATGTAAAAAAAGTTGTTTGGTTGAAAAAATTTTACCAGGCAAATTAAAAAATATTTATAAAGTCTATGTTTGGTCTGAGGTAAAATATAAATGGGAAAATAAATGACAATTACAAAAATATCCTTACTTATTGAAATTTACGTAAAATTAAAAGAGATAAAAAATTATAAAATATAAAATTCTAACGTAAAAAAAATAATAAAAATATTTAGAATTTTAATAAAATTATTTTAATGAAAAAAATATTATAAAAATATAAAATCATAATAATGAGTTAAAAAAAAGTTCACAATCAAAGCGACTTAACGAAGGCGCCGAAGGACTGATACGCGAGTGAGAGTCTGAAAGAATGGACCACATGGGCGATGAGGAAAGCTAACGTCATCACCCACTATGGCTTATGAAAGAACTAGACAGAGATTGGCTTATGAGAGGGTGGCTTATAAGAGGGTATAATGGACAGTGATATTTTGTCAAAAAATGGTTAGCCGGCTATTTTTCAGAAAACCACCTCCCACATCAGTTTCTAAACAGTGACAAAGCCAAGCAATCTGAGACCAAATGGCAAAATGCTATGCAAATGGGATGGCTGGGGAAGGTGAGTAAATATGTCTACCAAACAAGTGCAAAGTGGATTGCTGTGTTGATTTGCATGGGAAAATTTAAAAAATCCCTCAACCAAACATCACCTGGTGGAAGATTTATTTTGGGATTGATAGGAAAGTGTAAGTGGATATTGGAAAATACCACGTTTGGTTCAGGTTTTTGAAAAAAATACTAGGCAAATAGGATAGATGGGGAAATAACTTTTGTGTTGATTTTTGGATGAAATTTACTGTTACAGAATATCACTTGAGATGTGGTATTTTGAGATAACTGGAGAAGTGAAAGAACAGGTGTGAAGTTTCTTCCGAATATAGGTTTTGCAAATTTAAATAAATTTCCCTGGTAATATTTCGGTCAACCAAACAATTTTTTTTACATTTTCCTACTAAACTCACTTTCCAACCATTTGCCTAGTAATTACATTTCCCTAATATTCAAAAAATTTCTCCTCAACCAAACAAGCCTTAGAGAAAAGGAATTTTACTGTTGCATCAAAAGTGAAAACCCCTTTTTTGTAAGAGAAAAAAAAATACTTTTTTATTGTTATAAACTGCACCCTTTGAAAATAAACTAAAATCGTGAGCGCCTTTTTCAAGTTTTATATATATATATAGTTAGTTTTATAAAAGTTATGTTGTAGAAAAAGTGATTGTGTTATGTTATAGAGATTCGTTTTGCGTGCTGAATTTTTTTTTTTTTGCTGTGGGCCCCACTAAATATTGTGTGTGTAGAAAATTTTTTGTGATCATGTTAAATGATGAATACAAATCACACACACACATATATATATATATATATATATATATATATATATATATATATATATATGGATTGTCTTTTCTCATGTTGCATAGGAGAAGAGCTATCTCCTACACACAAATAGAGCATAGAGAGGAGAGAGAATAAGGAAGAGAAAAAAAATTTAAAATGAGTCTCACATTTACTTTGTGTCTTATGCATAAGATAACAATATTATGTAACATAAGATTATTATTTTCCACATATATATATATGTATTATCGGGACATTGACCATTGTGCCACTCCTTTAATAAAAATTTACTTGATTGCCACGTCTGAAATTTTTTTTGCCAAAATGTCACGTCACAATCTCGCTGGTCTGACAAGCGGGAATGAACTGGACACGTGTCAACGTCTGAATGGTCAACTATTCTCGCTGGACTGCCCAGCTAGAATGACAGAATGCTGACACGTGGCAAAAGTACAGACATCCAGAGAATGCCTGTACTTTTGCCACGTGTCAGCATTCTGTCATTCTAGCTTGGCAGCCCAGTGAGAATGGTTGGCCATTCAGAAGCTGACACGTGTCCAGTCCATTCTCGCTTGTCAGACCAGCGGGATTGTGACCAGAGGCGGATCCACTTAGGGGAGAAGGGGGGCAAGTGCCCACCCTTAAATATAATGTAAAAATAAAAATATTTTTTTCTTAAAATTTAAGTTTTTTCAATTTAATTTTGGGGTAGGATATTATAACAATCAATTAGGTTACTACAAATGCTACTACCAATCAAATTTCAATTTTACCGTTAGAACAATTATGCTAATCCAACGGTTATATTTATTTTCATCTTTGTACGGTTATGATTTCCATATTTAATAATTTAAATTTATTTTCACCTTTGTATGGTTATGATTTTCTATATTTAATGTTTTTACATTAAATATGGGGATCATAACCTTATAAAGATGAAAATAAATATAACTGTTTGATCAACTAATCGATCTAACGGTGAAATTGATTGGTAGTAACCCTAGTTGGTTGTTACAATATCCTACACCTTTAATTTCCCTCATTCTAATTTATTTTCAGGTGAGTTTTTTTTCTCTTCCACCTTTATTATCCAAACCTAATTTAGATCTAGATCTAAACCAGATCGAACCAGCCGACAGCTACTCGTAAATCACGTTCAAGATCAGTCCTTATTGAGTGCCCACCCTTCGTTATTTTTCTGAATCCGCCACTAATTATGACGTAGCATTTTGACAAAAAAATTTCAGGCGTGACAATTAGGTAAATTTTTGCAAAAAAAAATGACAATACGGTTATTGTCGTTGTATTATCGCCATGCATGATCAGGGCTGCTAAATCCATAAGGGTCCACATTGATTGC